TACTGAAGTCTGCAGTATATGATGCAGCACACTGCATTTGCTAAACTTTTAAATATGTGTAAGCCCAAATACGCTCCTGCGCAGAACAGATAGCAAGCCTGGATGTTTCTTGATTCTACCCTGCTTCAAGCACTACCAGGATTTCTGTGCTGACAACAGATAAGATGTTCTAGAGTAAAATAACTCCCATTATAACTTATTTTGCATTAAAAGTAAGTGTAGTGCTCCAGAAATATTCACAATTTGTCTCTGAAGAAAAACAAGAAAAATGCAGCTTTTGGGATGGAATAAGAAAAAGTGAAAAATATTTTCTCTTTCCTGTAGTTTAAATTTGGTTTGATGACCAGAATTTTCACCTTTCTTCCTTCTGAGGAGGTACTCTGTTTCTTTTCTCTGGCCACTTTGTTTCACTTTACACAACCAGTTATTCTCCTGACTGGCAATAGAGCAGAGCACTCAAGGTGGAACACAAGGCAGATGAAGTTAAAATACATGGCGTGTATTTTCAGGTTTGTAAAAAGAAAAAAAAAAAAAAAAAGCTATAAATTAGATCATAAAATCCAAGGTCACATATAAGGAATAGCAAAATTAAAGTGAATTCAAGTATTTGAAAGCATTCAAGTTTATCTCTATTTCTTTCTACTAAAATTATCTGACCACTATAGTAAATTGAAGTAGCTGAGTTAATTCAGGTGATTGATTATTCAATACTCACAGTACAAAAATTAATATAATTTATCTCTTTCTGCATAAGATTACATAAGAAACTGCATTCAAGTTATATTATTATACTGTATAGAAGTGCACAAACACAAACACACACCTTCAAGTAAACTCACACCCAGCAGCTCTTCAGCTTATGAGGTCACCAATGGCTTATGAGGTCAACATGGTACAAGCTAAAGCAAAGCCAACTAGCTAAGCAACACTGCAAATAATTTCCAATAGTCTCCTATCTTTTCCATCTTCCTGTACAAATGTCATTGGATCAGAAGAGAAAACTGTTCACAAAAATACATCTTTGCCCACAGAAGTATGATTCATAATACAAGGAACCTGTAGAAGTTAGGTTCAAATTAATTTGTGTATACCATTTTGAAATAGTGTCTATGCAATCCTCATTCACAGGACTTACTAGTGTACTCTTCTGGTTTTGTATAGTTACATGTATTCATCAAGTATATATATTGCTGGTTTAAATGCATTTAAACTCCTTTGAACAAATAACCTGGCTAATTATACCAAGTTTTTTAAGTGTAGCTTTCAAGAAGTAGTCATAAGGGATTAACATTCTTAAATTCATGAACATAATTATTTTTAAGTTACGGATAAATAACTTTTCCTTAAGCAGTGATCTCTTCTTAGTGTTATTTTAGATATTTCAACTAACCACTGTCAGAGTCTGATTATGCATCTTATCAAAAAAAATGATTGATGATAGAACAAATTACGCATATGCTGATATACACTGCAAGGAACAGCTTGATAAGAATATTACTTATAGCCTATAGTTCCCCCATGCAGCCTTACTGAAAAGCTGAAGAAACCATCAGAAAGCTTGTACATGTGTGCATGCAGATGTGTAGACACAAATAGCCTACGTATACTTTAAACATTGCACAATTAAACTTGTGCTTCACTCAGACTACTTAACAGAAAACTTAATAGCAGCAGATATGAGCAGTGTAAGTCAAGCTATTCAGAGCACATATCCAAGTCCCTACATTCAAAATGAGAATGTTACAAGGTTAGATGTGTAACGTTGAATATATTTAATTTCAGCGATTGGGCGACTCAAGAAATGACATGTGACAGTAAGGATTACACTGTATTTCTGTACTTTGGCAGTATGTAAGTTAGGCAGTGTGACAACACAGTGTAATTATCTATATTCTGATCAGACATAGCTTTAAAAATATCAACATTTCTGACTGTATAGAGAAAATTGTGTATTGGCAGTTTCAGGCAATTAACACAATCCTGTGTTGGATATTAAAATCAAACATTAGAATGTATAGCTATATCTGAAGGTATCTTAGTAATTTTCTCCCTAGTCATTCAGTAATTTGACATAATCATTGCTAAGGTTATTAAAAACAAACAAAAACCTCACTGACTGTATTTATTCCAGTATAATTTTAGAAGAAAAAATGCTTGCCATAAATAATTGTATAAGGGCATGAAAGGGCAGGCACTGCCTCTTTAGAACTCTGTAATTTCTTTTTCAGAGGTTGAATTTCCTAAATTCAGAGGCCTGCACTTTGAACCAGTCATGTGAACAGATCTAGTCTCTTGACTTATAGTTTTTTGATATATAAGAAAAATTTTGGGCTGGAGGGTGAACCAGATTTCACATAAAAGAAAGAGCTAAGGGGAATATAGTAAGCACAAAGTTGTGATTTTGGAAAGAAATGTTAGAGGACTGGAAGCGCAATAGAAAAATAACAGTAGGTTCTTGAAGATAAATATGAAAATAAACCACAGCAAGGAGGACCAGCCCATGGCACAGTCCAAGAGAAGCCGTTCATGGTATCACTACACAGATTCACTCAGGAGGTTTGACTGAAGTAGTTGAAGTCAAGAGAAGTCACTCCACTGACAACAGCAGGCTTCATTCAGGCCACTACATGCAGTCCTTCTGATCCTTCTTCCTTTCATCTTGGCTGAGAATCCTTCCCATTTCACTGAACAGTACCATTTCCCATTTCTCTAAGAATCTGTGTCTGTACCCACCCCCCAGAGGTTGTTTTTTTTTAACAGTGACATCTATGCCTGCCTCAAACCAATAAAATTTATAGATCCTCTGCACCCTTCTGATGAAGGTGCACAAGTCCATGGGACCTGATGGGATACATCTGCGGGTCCTAAGGGAACTGGCAGATGAAGTCACTAAGCCATTATCCATCATATTTGAGAAGTTGTGGCAGTCTGGTGAGGTTCCTGACAACTGGAAAAGGGGAAACATAACCCCTAGTTTCAAAAAGAGAAATAAGGAAGACCCAGAGAACTACAGGCCCGTCAGTCTCACCTCTATGCTTGGCAAGATCATGGAGCAGATCCTCCCAGAAACTCTGCTGAGGCACATAGAAAACAAGGAGGTGATTGGTGACAGCCAGCATGGCTTCACCAAGGGCAAGTCATGCCTGACAAATTTGATGGCCTTCTGCGAAGGGGTTACAGCGGCAGTGGACAAGGGAAGATTAACTGATATCATCTACCTGGACTTGTGCAAAGCGTTTGACACTGTCCCACACGATATCCTGGCCTCTAAATTGAAGAGACATGGATTCAACAAATGGACCACTCGATGGATAAGGAACTGGCTGGACAGTCACACTCAAAGAGTTGCAGTCAATGGCTCGATGTCCAAGTGGAGAAAAGTAACAAGTGGCGTTCCTCAGGGGTCGGTACTGGGACCTGTATTAGTCAACATTTTTGTTGCAGACATGGACAGTGGGATCAAGTGTACCCTCAGCAAGTTTGCCGATGATACCAAGCTGTTTGGCGAGGTAGACACGCTGGAGGGGAGGGATGCCATCCAGAGGGACCTGGACAGGCTGGAGAGGTGGGCCCAAGCCAACCTCATGAAGTTCAACAAGGCCAAGTGCAAGGTCCTACATCTGCCTGGGTGTGCTGATTGACCAGAAGCTCAGCATGAGTTAGCAATGTGCAATCACAGCCCAGGTGGCCAACCGTATCCTGAACTGCATCAGAAGAAGTGTGGCCAGCAGGTCAAGGGAGGTGACTCTGCCCCTCTACTCCGCTCTGGTGAGACCCCACCTGGAGTACTGCATCCACCTCTGGAGTCCCCAACATAAGAAATACATGGACCTGTTGGAGCGTGTCCAGAGGAGAGACATGAGGATGATCCGAGGGCTGAAGCACCTCTCCTATGAGGACAGGCTGAAAGAGTTGGGGCTGTTCAGCCTGGAGAAGAGAAGGCTCTGGGGAGATCTTATTGTGGCCTTCCAGTACCTAAAGGGGGCCTACAGGAGAGCTGGGGAAGGACTTTTTACTAGGGCATGTAGTGACAGGACGAGAGGGAATGGCTTTAAACTGGAAGAGGGCAGGTTTAGATTAAACATTAGGAAGAAGTTTTTCACTATGAAGGTGTTGAGGTACTGGCACAGGTTGCCCAGGGAGGTTGTTGAGGCCCCATCCCTGGAGGTGTTCAACTCCAGGCTGGATGTGACCTTGGGCAACCTGGTCTAGTGGGAGGTGTCCCTGTCCACGGCAGGGGGGTTGGAACTCGACGATCTTCAAGGTCCTTTCCAACCTAAACCATTCCATGACTCTATGGTTCTGTAATGGGCAGGAGCAAAGCCCATCGAATATATTAGTGTTAATGGGAAGGCAGCGGATTGAGGAGAGGCTTGAGAACTTTGAGACCATTAGAGTAATAGCAAGCAGTGAAAACAGATTTACAAAGCCAAAACATAAGGGAAATTATTTACTTTTGCTTTTTTAAGTTGTGCATAGGGAATATGAAGCTTTTTCATGCAAATTATTTACAGCCCAAATATAGGATAAGGCACATTAAACATTGCAGCACAGGTCCAAATTTCATTATCTAGCTTTCAGACCTCATGGCTAGTCAGAATATCTGCAAAGAGAACATTTTAAAAGCAAACTCTGCCCTCATGGAGCCTGCCATTACTGGATTTAAGTATTTACTATGCTTTGAACTAGTGCTTTACAATTTTTTTCTGGTGTTTATGCAACAATGTTGACAAGCGTTTCTGGAGAGACTAAAACATTATTACACTATGTTGGCCAAATGTTTGAAAGCAAGAAATCTCCTATTGCTTCAATTTCCTTCAAATACTTAATATTTTCCTTTGGGGAAGTAACTTATGTTTTATCATAATGATTTCTATTTGCTTCTGGAGCATGAGTCATGCTCTTCAATTATTTTCAGTTGATTGTGTAATTATTAGTGAGCATGGGGTTTGGCTAGTCTTTATTCAGTTTGGGGTTTTTTAATAAGAATTTCTGCTTACCTTCAGGTGAAGTACCTGGCTTTTGAGAAAACACAGAGCTTATTTTACTCTTCTTGCTGCTGTTGCTGTTGACAGACAAGGTGGACTGAATTTTTCTGTGCATTTTTTCTGAAACAGGAGCCGAAAGTTTTCTGTTGTCCGAAGGCACGTTCTTGACCCCGTTGTGAATTCCACTTCCATTACTCAGACCCGCGTGGCCGTTTTGGATTTTGCCGCTTTCTTCCTCACCCCTTTCCAGTGCTGAAGTATTCGGCTGAGGCAAACGTTGAGGTTGTGCTTAAAATTAAAGAAAGAAAGGGTTAATTTAAATTGTAAATTGGTAACTGAACACTTCAGGCTAGACTGGGAAAGCAACCTTCATTGATCAAAGAATAGATGGAAAAGTTAACATTCGCCTATCAAAAAAAAAAAGGCAAAAAATATCTCTAGATTAAAAATAATTATTAGGTGTTCAGAAAGCACCTCATGTCTGTATGAGGCCTAGATTCCCTCTTCATCACTGCATGGAAAGGTTCACAATTCTCTGTGGATTAGACAGAGAGAATAAGGCAAGTAAGGTGAAGAAGGAAAAAATCAGGAACGGGAGAAAAAGCAGCAAAACTGAGATAAACTTGAGTCAAGGGAGCCAAATGGGGGGAAATGTAACAGAAGGAGAGAAAAAGGCCGGGAAGAGAAGATAAAGACTGCAGTAACACCAGTGAAGCTGCTGCTGCCAGTCTTCAGAAAATAACCTTAGTGACAAGGTAGGGGCCCCCAGACAATGAGCCACCACAGACCAGTATATTAGAGAAGAATAGGAATATCCAGGTAAATAACAACAGTTTGAGCTTAAATTCATAAAGATTGTGGATTGCTGAGAAGAACAAAACCAATCAAAATCTGGTTTTGTGGAGGAGATGAACTAGTAGGCAGAAGGAACGTGTGTTCAAACACCACACAGCCGTGGCAGGCCAGAGGCCCCCCCACCATATTCCTCAATTCAGAATCACAATTTTAAAAATGGCTGTAATGGGCCACTTAGGGCTTTAACGGCAACAAACCAAAATCTACACAGGAAAAGAAATGCAAAACCTGTTAAGGCAGGAATCTGCAGTGGCCTGTTTAAGACTCCAAAAGTACATTTTAATGAAACAGCACGAAACTTGACCATTCTTTGTTGAGCTACTGTCTCATAAAGGAGCATATTTTTTATGACATGGAAAATACATTGCCTATGTATTTAAAATCTGTATTGAAACAAAAGAAAAGATGCAGGATTATTTTTTTTATGTAAAGCTTTGTAATAAAAAAAATAAAGTAGCTTCCAATTAAAGATTCTTATGCAGAAAAAAGTGCAGACTTTGTTCGAAGACTAATTAAACTAGACACATAGTAACACAACAAGATTTCATAATCAAAAAGCATCAGCCCAATCACCTCTCCTAATCAAAACACTACTGTATCATACTTGGACATAAAGAGGTTTTCAGACAATCCAATCTTCAACTATTTATAAATCTAATATCAGGGAAAAAGCCCAGATTCTACTGAATACTCAACTGAAGAGAGATTAGAAAATGCCAGCAGTAAAGAAAAACAATGCTGCAGGTCATTCTCTTTTCAGATGATTCACATCCATTTTCAGATGATTTCACAGAATTACTTCGTATGTAGATTACACTGTGTCCAAGATAACAATATGTATAGATAATTACAGTTAGCTTCCTCTAAAAGAAACATCTCCACTGATCAATTCAGTGACCGAACTTTTGGACAAATACTACTGGGACACCCAGACACATGCTTTGTAAAAAGACTCTCAGTTCTGAATTTGCCTAACAAACCCTCCATTCTTCCCTTTTGTCAAGGACATTGATACCATTCTCAAATTGCTTCCTCCAACTATCATAAACTTGTCCAGATTAAACTTCAGAGAAATATTAAACTTTAACTCCTGGTCACATTCACAGGCAAAAAGAGATACTTTTCATAATAGTTTAAATATGAACTGGTTTGTTTTTTCTTGCCATTTGATTTTTTCTAGTCACAGCAACTAAGATTTTAAGAAGATACCCTGGACTACCACATCTATATAGGTCAGAGTAACCCTGATTGAGCCTACTTTATGAAAGTGATAATCTTGCGTTGCAGGAAAGGGAGGGCTGGGGGAAACATTCACGCTTTAGTCTCCCCAAAGATGTTGCAGGGAAGATAAAGATCATTCCCTTCCATCACCAGCAGTTACTGCTCATTAACCTCCAAGCCACCAGAGCAGGAGCACAACACTATATGACAACTGAGCATCTAAATATTGCCCAAAAAGTTTTTGGTAGTAATACAGAAACAGCTTCTCCTTTCAATTTTGTATTAGTGCTTGCAAAACCTATGCATATGCATAAGCAAGGCACTTTCTGCACTCTGGAATTCCATTTGTAGCATATATTCTGCTAACATTTCCAGACTACCATAAAAGCCCCAAACCAAGTTTTTAGGGAGTTTTCTCCTACCCGAAACATGGTTCTTTAAAAGTATACTACAAGGAACCCTTTGTGTAGGACATCTTTCCACATCTGTGCAAATGAAATTTTGTTAAAAAACTAATCAAATCCTTCCATTTTAAAAATAGCCAATGTAGATCTAAGTACAGTCAAAAATAAAATCTTTAGTAGACACAGGAATCAAAATTTTTACTCTCTAACGTTCAGTGTTCATACCCATAGCTCCCCATAGCTTTATTTTCATTATCCCACTCAAATGTCAATTGTACTGTTAAGAACAGTGTTTTTCACGTTCTGTGTAGCAATGTTTCCTCACATTGAGCCACTGTCTACAATTCCCAAAAGTGGAGTGGTGCAGTTGCACCAATAACATAGAATTACTGGGGAGGAGTTAACCTTCCTCAATAAATAAAAGCAACAGACTATACTAAAAATTCTGTATGTCTGGACACGCAAGTTTCTAAAACTGACAGTTATGACCTTTTCCAAGCCAGCTAAATTGGTGGTGGCAGCTTACAATTGTTTGCATATTTTTGGTGCTTTGCTACAATACAGTAACTTGGCAAATTATCCAAAATTCCAGCTTCAAAATTAGGTGTGTTTCTGTTAAACTGTGGGTGAATAGGAAGTCTTGGGGAATCTAAACAGTCATTTGTGTTTGCTTTAATTATTATTTTTACTAAGGGTTTTTTGGGGAAGGGGGTAGGTTTTGGTTTTGTGGCTGGTTTTTTGTTTGTTTTTGTTTTGCTTTTTTTTAATAATCCTGTTCCCAAAGTACTCTTACTTCAGTCTTTTAGCATTAACATACAACTTTTTAGCTGACTGGCTTTACAGTATTCATATGTGATACGCAGGTCAAATCAAAATGGAATAAAACCCCAAATGGATTAGTTATCTCAATTTAAATTTATTTTAACTTTATTGATAATTTTGCACTAGGGAGACTTGAATCTTATGGTTAAAACACACTTGAAACCAATTAGGAACCATATGACCGCATTCTAGCATAAAGAACAAAAGCAATTGACAGTTCCAAGATTAAGCCACAACCACTCAGTTTAAAACAGAAATATTTTTACCTTATTTTTTAAAGGTTGTGTATATCTTAAAAAAAAAGGTGTAATATGGGGAACGACACAATGCTTCTTAAAACACAGTGATACCCAGGGACTCTCACTCTCTCTTTAATGATCCACTGCTCTCATTCAGCTGTCTTTCTTTTTTCAAATCTTTACATATGTGACAGCTCTCAAAAGTAGACCATAGACCATCTGGCATTTTCAGAGGTGTAACTTGTGCAAATTCAGCTCTACTGGGAACACAATGCTATCTTCTGCCTGCGTTATAAAAGATACAATAGAATGTAGAACTTATGAGTTGTTTTGAATTATTCATTTTTTGCCTGTATATTCAAGAAATTTTACAAACTCTGCATTTTGTACTACATAATCACATGCGTTAAAGGTACAAAGAAACTTTTTGACACCTCTTTTCTACAGAAAGATGGCATTTTGTTTGATATGTGAACATTCAGCGCCTGTTATATCATTCTAAACAGGCCGTGTGCTGCTACAAAAGATCCCATTTTACACTCTATGTATGAGCAAAAATTTTATTCTTGATATTCAGTAACTAATGCAATACACATCAAAATTTCAAATATGAGTTGGATGAACATTCAGCATCTTCAAATCAGGATGGCACTGGTCACTTACTATATGCTAGAGATTTAAAAAAAAAAAAATAAAAAATCATTCCTCACACAACATAGAAATATTGTCATTTCAAACATCCACAATGAATAGTTTCAAATGTCCTAAGAAATACTGTGCTTTTTAGGTTAATATGTTTTTAATCTTTAGCAAAACCAGTAGATTTAAGTCAATATTTTATACAGTGCTAACACTAGTGGATTTTCAATAAGAATGATAAATATTGGATTAATGATTCAATAGACTGAATCTTTTTTGATAGAAAACTAGCAGATAATGTAGCTAGTAATAACTATACATGAATCTGCTGCCTGTGGAAAAGCAATAAAAAGCCAATATATTGCTATAGCATATAATCTATTAGCGTGTTTCACTGCTTCCTTGTCATTGGTTTCCTTGCAAAGTGGGCCTTAATACAATAACTTCTGCTGCTATTTAACTGACTTTACATAATAATTTAATTGTGAGGTTACTATCTGGTGAATAAATGTTCAAGTACTAAACATTTACTATGATTTTGATGGTTTTGAAGTAACTATGCCCATTCTCATTCAGACTGTAAAATCCTTAGCGCAGTTTAAATGAATACGCATGCATATATGCACACTGACAATACATTGTTTACACCTTGCAAAATAACAGCTATTCTTCAGAGAAAAATCCTGATGGATGCATTTAACAGAAAAATGTATGTCAACACAGGGAAACTATCAACCAAAAGAGGACAGTATAAGCTATCATTAGGGATTTTAGACAAAACACAAAACAAATATACACGGTATACAGTCTCCTCGGAGTCAAAGTGAATCAAAAGAAAACATCAGGAGGGAGAGAAGAACTGAGACAGCTAATTAGTAGCCTAATCACACCAAAAGCAATTCCAAGGCAGCTGATCCAGATGTCCGTGGAGTTTGCTAGGCTGGCCAACGCCACCAATAGAAAAAATACTCCCCGGTTTGCAGCCAGGGTCATCTGACTGCATACCCAGAGAGCTAAGAACACTCTTTTTCTTCATTTATGACACAATAGCTTATGACATCAGATCAGACCACAGAAGCCATATTTTTGCAGGTGGACTAGGGAGGAA